TATATATATATATACGTAAATTAAAACGTCATGCCGAAGCGGGCGACGAGATTTCAATTCCGGCGACCTACAGCTTCTTACGGGCGACCCCCCCAAACAACCTCCTTTCTTTTTTGTGCCGACAGATTCTCCATGCAAAAGTTGACAAGACCTAAAACTATTATAATCCCCAATAATGACCGTGCCGAATAAAAATATCAACTAAAGTGATCTATTTTCGAGATTAAGCTCTAAATAATGTTTGAAAACTTAATTTATATAAATTGTATATATGATCCAAAGCTATTAAATTTCCAATAATGGTAGCTTGAATATAAGTCTCAATCAAATGTGTTTATTTTCATGATTAAGCTCTAAATAATGTTTAAAGAACTCAGTTTATTTAAGTTGTGAATCCGATCCTCTGTGAGCAAGGAAGAATTGACAGAATTCAAAATTATTAAAATCTCTGCTGATGACTATGCTAAATGTAAATCTCAACAAAGGAACCTATTTTCAAAGTTAAGCTCTAACTAATATTTGAAGAACTCAAGTATATAAGTTATAAATCTGACCCTATGTGATCAGACAAAGTTGCCAAGGCTATTAAAATATATGATGATAGTCGTGTTGAATGCAAATCTCAACTAAAGAGGTCTATTTTTAAGAGTAATCTCTAAATTATATTCTAAAAACTCAATTCATATAAATTATAGAGAGAATTGACAAAGTCCAAAGCAATTAAAATCCTTGATAATAACTGTGTTGAAGGGAATTTTAACTGAAGGGATCCATCATAAAATAAAAGTTTTGAAATTATTAAAAAAATTATAAAAATATTTAAATGAAAATAGATCACTTAAATATAAAGAACCAAATTCATCCACCATTTGCAGTGGTTTATTAAGGGCGATACATTTATTTATAAACTAAACTTACAAAAAGAAAATATCATACCAATTATATCATTATATTCACTCAAAATAATCTCATGTAAGTAATGACGTGATACAAGTCATTTGTTCATGCGGTTTAACTTAATAGTTCCACAAATAAATTACAACCAAAACCCTTTAAACAGGTCGTTTAGCCAATAGACTCCATTAGATGATTTAATCAATAGGCTTTATCAAGTGAATTAGACAGTAAGCTCTACTATATTATGATCATGGCTATGGTCTGTATGTTTTCCAATAACTTTATTTATTTAAGTCATGAGCTATTAGGTGTATTTCATGAGGCATTAAGCCCATTTGTTAACTGATGTCAACTTAGATTAATCCCATTAGACTAACAATCACCCTAGATATAAAAGGTTCCATTGAACGAAACAACAATTGGTTGCTAACAAGCATCCTTCCGTCATATAAGGTCAACTATCTCTTCTGACTAAGTAGACCATGAGATATTGATCAAGTTCGTCATCATTCCCCCCCACCCCCACTCCCACCATCTGCTCAAAAGCTCAAAGTGATGAATTTCTATATTTAAAAAACTTATTTGATATTACCATACATTGAGCAATCAACTCTTTAATGACTAGCCTTGATCGAAAGTGTTATCCCATGAACGTAAAGAAATTAACCATAAGTTGTGCCTTTGTATGGAAAACCTCGAACCCCAAATCTTGAAGTCCTCACATGATGATGATGAAATCTCTGTGTAGTGTCTTACATAATATATAAACTGCCTTCTGAAAATTTGACTCGAAACCTTAAGATAAACTCTAACTCATTTCCTTCTCGAGATAAGCTGAGGCGTCGAATTTTCGGTGCCCACAATAACTTGGCTATAAGTTGTATAAAAAGAATTATAAATAATTTGAGTAAACAAAACAGATTCATAAAGCCAATTTCAAATGATTAAAATTGCTAATTATGATGATAACCAGCATAATCATAACTATTCTCATTGAAAATATTTATTGCAGAAAAATTCACAATCATATTTTTTTATGGATTTTCATAAGAATCCCTGAACATACCTTCTGCATGTATAAATACAAAGAAAATATGCAATTCTTTTAAAAATAGGTACTGCTTAAAAATCTGTTGTGCATCGGTCGGAATTCATGATTACATTAAAAATTGTCTACAACATTTATGAATATGAGAAAAGAAAATCTTTCAAAAAGCCATTTTTACACAAACTCCCTAGTTTTTTTTTACTGCTTTCAAGTGCAACTCAAATATTTGTAAAATATGCTTATAATAAATTAAAAAATTATAAAAATGCAACAGCCCTGAAGAGATGTATTGCAAGTAATACGTGATAAAAGAACCTCTAAATATTTTCTTCATGAGTAACTGAAAACATGATACATGCACATATTTATGTTGTAAATAGTTGATGGAAAATACTGCAAAGTTGGCAAGTATTTGAGAGAATGGTCTCAACCATCATGAACTTTTTTTCTTTTTTGTATTTTGATAATGATTTTTCATTTGTTCAACAAACTAATCCATTCTCACAGTTCTAACTTCATGTTTGATCAAGTCAAAGTACACGAGTATTTTTATGACTTGGCTAACCGTATCACTTTTTGTAAGTGTGGTACCGTCGACCTATCATGTTTCATGCCCTTCTCTGTTCATAGTTAGATATCACGATGCCCCATCATGTATTGGGTTGCTAATACAACTTTTTCCTTGATTTAAGTTGCAACCTTCTACTATTCCCTTTCACAAGCGCCAATATTAACAACTTCTTCATTGAGTACCTATGCTTGCCTACAGTAATTTGAAGAAGGGCATAAAGAGATGGGTACAGTGAGTGATTGTGTATGAGAGACAGAGGGAGGGAGGAGGGGACAAAAAAATATGTAGAATGTGTGTTTGTGTATGAGAGAGAGAGAGAGTAAGGTAAAGTGCATTTGAAAATTGACCAAAAAAGCTCCTAGCATCGGTCCTGTATCCAATTAAGATATATTGTGACAAGGGAAGAGTGAATAACACCACTGTTGCAGGAGGGTCTTCATATGCTTGCCTACACTAATTTGAAGAGGAAGGGCAGAAAGACATAAGTAGAGTGTGTGTTTGTGTATGCGAGCGAGCGAGCGAGCGAGCGAGCGAGAGAGAGAGAGAGAGAGAGAGAGAGAGAGAGAGAGAGAGAGAAGTGGGGTTGGGGTGAGGTAAAGTGAGTTTCAAAATTGGCCAAAACAGCTCCTTGCATCACTCCTATATCCAAGTAAGGGCGACTGAGGTAAGGGAAGAGTGAATAATATCACTGTTGCAAGAGGATCCTCATTTCTTTTCCCTAGAATAATAATATATGTATCGAAAAGGAATGAAATGATGTTTTTCAACAGCACAGATATCAAAATAGATGGCATTATAAATCATTGGCCGAAATGCAATATCAGTTCACTAACAAGAGCTAACCTATTATGTCCCATTAACAATAAAAAACATAAAAAATTATATATTCCAATTATATTCTACAAGCCGTTAATTTTCCATATTAAATATATGCCTTTTATATTGTTTAGATGATTATATTACATTAAAAAAATAGTCGTTTTGCATCTACAAAGGCATCAAGGACGTACGTTGAAATAGAAAGAAATGGCAAAATGAAAAGGAATTTGCAGAAGTAGCTGTTGGAAGGGAATATTTTTGAGATTTATTCTCTGTAAAATAGCAAAAAGGCCTAGGCACAAAATTTCCAAAACAAATTAGACTGGATAGAAATCAGTATGAAAAAAATTTAATCATGACAGTGCTTAGTCCAGATGTATACTATGTGATCAAAATGCGAAAAAAAATGCCAAATTAATTCGAGTTTCCAGTTTAGAAACAAAAAAAGATATATAAGAAATGAGCCAATATGACAAATTAATAAGTCATGAAACCTTTAATGGCTGCCTTTCATCTTCTCTGCTCCGTTTCTTGCTGCCATGAGGTCTAGAAGGAGAGGAGTGCCTGATATCAAGTCTTTGACTGGGCTTCTCTCCTGAATGGAAAGCCTCTATCACAGTGCTTCTAAGAGGGAAGCTTCTAGTTGTTTCACCCACCAGACCTTTCCATTCCCTGTTACGCCTACTTCTGGAGACATTAACTAAATGTTCATCCTCATGCTCGGAATCAATATATGAAGCACCACCTGCTTGCACCATCTCTGGATTTGATTTCCCAAAATAGTCATTTGTTGTCACTTTTGCGTTCGCAGCTTCTTCGGTAAGAGCTTCTTCTGGTTCGGCGTACAGATGCCAGTTTAGAGATAAATAATCCCATAACCTGCAAAAGAATGTGTTCCCTAATATGCAGTAATAGAAACAAAGAAGCAAATGATGATCTCGAAAACAATAGGAGTTCCACCAAGCATTTGGCGATGGGAAATTCACCAGGTTACAAAAGCGTCGCTGTCATCCCCTAGAAATACATTCAATTCCCTTTTAGCTTCATCTTTGCCCCTTCCATTCCTGAGCAGCACAATCACATACTCCTGAAAAGATTGAAACCAAGAAGCAAACAAATATTAACGTTTCATTAAAATCTCCATTAGAATAGATCGCAAAACTAACTGTTATAAACAGATCGCTAACGGGGTGTTCAACACAGAACCCATTTCATTTCAAAACCATATATGATTATGAATATGAATGAACACGACAAAATTAATCACGGGAACGCGAACGATGGGCAAGGATGAAAAGATTGTACCACCAAGGTGTCGTCAGTGTAATCTCCCATAAACTCCTTCAGCTTCTCCTTCACCTTCTCCTGCAACCCCGCCGCACCCTCTCCGGCGAAGTTAACCCGGAAGGCCCAATCATTACCATCACGTTCAATCCCTCCCATCACTCACAAAGCAAAGAGAATCCCCTATATCCCAAAGTCCTAAATTCACATCGACCCTGCAAGTTTTTTTTTGTAAAATTCCTCCACCAAAACAAACCCTAGCACCTCCGGAATTATCAAAGAAAAATTATAATGCAGATTCGAAGGATCGAAACGCCTAAATCAGGAAACTATCTGCGAAGATTTATAGGCACGGCTGCATGGAAGATGGCCAGCCGATTTACCAGGACTCCAATCGACTCGTCCCCGCCGACGCTTGCCGAGTGACTAGGCGTCCAATCCAATTTATCGGTAAGTTCTATTTTTTGAGAAAATCCTGATCGGTACATTTTAATCCTTTTTTTTAAAAAAAAAATTTTTAGGTAGAGCTCACCGAAATACATTCCGATCATAGATCAACTGATGTACGATCAGGATCAGATCCATATGCAATAATTTTTTCTATTTTTGAGGCATTGTGAAATTTACATAGATTGCATAAATTTTGAGTTTTAATATTTATAATACTTGGCTCTTTCAAATCATAGCAAAAATAAAATCATTTTATCTTTTATTTTATGAAATATGTGCACTTAGATATAAGTAAAATGATTTATTCATATAAAAAAAATTTAATATTTAATATATAAATACATATAAAAATTGAATGATATGTATGTAAATCTTCTAAAATATTTTTTTTTTTTTGTAGGAACTGGATAGGTAAATGTTTTAAAATAAATTTAATTGCTATGAAATTTAATTTAATTTCCTACTATTCTAATATTAATTTTCTCTAAAAAAAATAATATTATCTTGCTCCTAGGAAAATATTCTTAATCGCACCTACACAATATTAAAATATAAAATTAATTCACAAAAATATAAAAATTACTTTATCTTTAAATCTTATTCTAATCAAGAATAGAGAGAGCGGGAGAGAGAGAGAACTGAATCTTTAAATCTTATTCTGCTTCAATCTAAGGTTTCAGTCATTCTTTCTTATTTCTCTTTCTCTTTCTCTTGGGAAAATATTTATATTTTAGATGATCGTTGCATGCAGAGGGTGTGATTGCAATATTTAAAGAGAAGCTTTGTCATCTCAAGCTTCTCTCTAGGGTTTTCGAGTTTCTTTGTATTTTCTTTTTCTATTTGGAAAAAACTATCATGCTTTTTTTTTTTTTTTACTTGGGTCTTCTTTCGAATTTTGGGGGTTCATTGTCCTTTTTTTTTTTATGGTTTATCTCTTTTTTCTCCACATAGTTCTACTTCTTCTCGACTGCTTCTTGGCTCTGAATTACTTAACTATAATAGTCGAGTTTCTTCACATTGTAAAGGTTTTTCTAATTTTAACTTATTATTTATTCCTTATTCACAAGATGATATTTCTTTTTTTGAACTTAGAATTCAAGAATGATCGAAACAGTGGAAGTGGGCCTTGGTTTGATGTGCGCTAGGGAATAGACCATTATATGGTAATTTACAATAGGCGGATTAATAGAATGTGATAATTAAAAGGTTTGTTGTTTTTTTATCTCTTACAAAAAGGTTACTTTTTATTTAAATTTAGCTTTGAAAATAATTGAAAATGGTTTTAATGGGTGGTTATTGGTTCATCTATTGAAAACCATTTATTTTTAAAAGATAGTCCACTAATTTTAGGTCGGTTAAAGAATAATTTAAAGTTGTTCGCATTTGGGTAAAATTCCCTAACTTAACTTTGTGTCGTTGGAATAAAATTGTGATTTCTAAGATTGCTAACAAAATTGGTTTTCCTTTAGCTGATGATTCTTTAGCGGCTAAAGGTGCATATCTCTTTTTTTATAGTTAACCTACAATTTTATATCAACTCTCATCTTCTTGATTTTATTTCTCTTGATATAAATGAACAATAATTTATTTTACTTGTCTTGTATGAGTGAAAATCATGTCCCTAGAAGACTTGTTCCACATTTTCTCGTGATTAACGATTTTGTCCAATATCAAATAATCACCAATCTGCTATTATTTTACTTGTGTTTATGAATAGGAATAATAACAAGAATGATCAAAGGTTTAATAGGAGGAGTATACCTCATCTTCTTGTTACATTATTGTTCTTATTATTGCTCTGATTAATGTTTAATAATTCTACTAACTGTCTTGCATATGTTCTAAACATTTTTGTTACAACTGAAATGTCTTCTAGCAATAATGAAATGAATGTGGATGTTGGAGAAATTAATCATGTTGTTGTAGTTTCCAATGTTAATGTTATAGTTTTTATTACCTTTCGAGTTAATATGGACTATGATGACATCAATGTACAAGAAAGTTTGACTATTAGTGATGAATGTAACATTGTTGATGGTTTGGATACTCCTATTTTAAAAAATTATTCTATTCTGTATAACGATCTTGATTTTGTTATTGTTGCAGATGGCACCAGTAATATTGATATTAGAAATAATATATTTGATACTTCTAGTAACAGTATTATTCCACATAACTTTAATAATGTAATTTCATTTGTTCTCGTTGCTTTACCTCGCCTCTTTAAGGGAAAAAAGGGGAAGTGTAAAGTTGATAACACTCGTTAGCTATGGTTCTTTTTATTTTAGTTTTGTTTCTTCTTATAATTATTTATCTTAAATCCAAATATTTTTTGCTTGGAATGATCACAGGCTTTATAATGATTTTCAATTTGCTTATTTTAAGAGAATTCTTATGAAATCAAGCACGTATGATTAGTTTTTTTTTAAAACAAGCTTTCAATATCTTTTATTTATAAAATTTTCTCCAATAAGCGATTTAATATTTTTCCTGATGAATCTAATGTGCATAATTTTGACTTAGATGGTTACGATTATATTTGAATCAAGTGGAACTCTAATAATTTTTTTTTCATTACTTTGTACATTCATGGTCATGTCACTTTCTCTTCTTCTTTTAAATTTTATATTACTTTCATTTATGTTGATGTTGGATCGCGAACAATCATTTGTGAACACATCTTCAGAGTTAAAGTTGAGTGAAGGAAATAATAAAGTGAACTAAGAGCCTACGGAGAAAATTGGGGGAGTTCTCTTTATTCGTATTTTTGTCTCCCATTTATAGAAAAGAGGAAAAAGTTGTAGAAATCATTCTTCATATGGTTAATGCTATAATAAATTGTATGGATTTCATTCTATATCTATATTACAATTTGAATTTTGATATAGCGGTAGTTGGTCGATCAATTCACTATAATGCGGCCAGCTGAGGCGACCAACTAGGCGGCGATTATGCCTTGTGTTTAGTCAATCGAGGCGTTCAGTGGAACGATGATCTCGTACGTTGCGGCAAAAGCAGGTCGGTCGTTCAATCTTGATCAGAGGGTTTCTATTTGCGCTTCGTTCAATCAGTTGGTCGACTTTAAATTATTTTTGTAGGGCAGATAGTGGCTCTCTTGTAGCTTCGGCTTAAACCATGCGGGGCATATGTCTCGTCCGTTTGGTCAGTTCATCACCTCAGTCGAATCCCTCTATTTGGAAGATCTTAGGCTGATCTTGTCGCTACCTATAAGAGGTATCTATTTAGTCTTGCTGCTATGATGAATTAAGCATCGCACTTGGCGGATCTTGTCGTTATCGGGTGAGGGACCATTTCCTGGGCTTTGACATGTCCTATGTTTAGAGACACGGCTTCATCTGCTTGATGGTGACTTGTCGCTTTATTATTTTATCTTGGGGGAAGCTTTTTGTTTTTGGTTGTTTGTTCTTTTTGAGATTTGTGTCGGTGGCTCTAATGTATAAATATTAGTCTCCTAAATTTTCCTACTCCTTGGTGGTGACAACTACGGTAAGGACAGGAAAAATATTATCTTTAATTATGTCAATGAAATCAAGAAAATTTAATGATTAGTTCTCTCTTTAGTTTCATGTCTGACGTGTCTTATAAATAAGGTCAAGAGTTGGGTTGTTCATCTTTTTCCAACGTTTCTTGGGTTACAGAATAGGCGTTATGTCAGGTGGCACGAAAAACAAGACGGTCGACCCGAGCATACTGCCTTGGAGGGGTATCTACCAGCTATGACATCTATCCCAAAAAAAAAGAAAAAGGTGGTTAGAAAAGAAAGAAAGCGAGAGACAGCTATTCCTAAGTTGGTAAACTGGGTTGCCTCTTTCGATGGGCCCAAAAGGTCGCCAAGGAGGCTCCAGAAACAAGCAAACTTTAGTTCGAGTGAGGTTAGGGTTCTGGTTGTCCCATCGGCCCTGTCTGGGAAAAAAGGATGCCAACGATCGTCATAGTTTGAGGGCAGAGGTGGCGATGACTCTTAGTTGTTGCCCCTGGAGGAAAAGGGGGGTGGCGCCGCAGTGTGAGAGGAAGGCCGGCCCTTAACTGGGTTGAAGCTTGAGAGGCTCATGGGTATGTAAGGAGGCTCATGGGTTTACCGGAGACTCCCTCATAGGTCAGTGGCATGCCGACTGCAGGAGATGCAGAGGCTCTGCACCATACAATGAAAAGTCTTGCTGACTCAACTGTGCTGGGATGGATGGCTCATTGCAAACGTCTGGAGGTTGCCTTTCAACAACAGTCGTCTATCAACTCCCAGATAGAGGGAGAGATCATGTCATTGCTAGGTTATGTGAACGACGCCTGAGCTGAGAAGGGATCCATCCGCGGTTCGGTAGTTTTGAGTCGATTCCATAATGCGGCTGCCCAGATGGAGAAGATTATACTTAGTGGAGAGATAATCCTCCAAAGGTTACTTGAGAAGGGGTTCGTGTTGTCTGAAGCCACAAAGGACCAAGTTATTTAGCATTTTGTCTAAAACTTGGAATGATGATATTTGTCATAAATCCATATTTCAAACACACTTAATTTCAACGAACCAAACACGAACATAACACGAGCTTTGTTCGTTCGTGTTCGATTTGTTTACACCCCTAACGGTAAACCTAATCCTCAGCCCACGAATATAAATCAGTTGATTCACAAGATTTAGCGAATCTCAGATTTACAACCAAAATTGGTGAAATCTGGATTTAACAAATCCACGACTTTATTTTGTCCAAAATGAACGTTGGGCAGGATTTAGTTTACATCCCTCTTAAATCCCGTGATAAAACATTTGTCAGACAACCCCTTAGAAAACCAAATATTAAAAAAATTATTGCTATTTGACAATTGAACATTTTTGCAATAACATAATTTTCTTAATTCTCATTTTCAGTAATTATTATTAGCTTATCTTCTACTAGCAAACAAATAACCCATGTGACTAATGATAGAAACTAAATTCAATTATAAAAAATATCTCAAATACAAAATCAATCCAACAACACAAATCAGAGAAAATT